GAAAGTGATTGGTGAAAAGGGCGACGGAGTATCACTCTCCAAACAACGTGTGTGAAAACCACTAAATCGCGCACTTGGACCAAAATGGCCGACTTCCTGTGCGACTTTGCACTTGGCTTCAAGAGACTTTTTTGTAGGTCCTGAGACACCACATTAGTGTACCAAATTTCGTAATCCTCAGTCAAAGCATGGCTTGGGGCTGACAGTTTTAATGGTCCTAGGGGGCGCTATTTCAGAAAATAGGCCACGCCCACCAGATGTTCACATCAGATCTTTTGGGGGGCCGGACTAGGATCACTCACAAGAAGTTTCGTGACGATATCTTTGGAAATGACGAAATGGGAGGCAAACGTAAGGCCAAGGCGGTACGCCTGAATTCGCCGCGCCGCCACAGCCCCGCCCTCTGCCGAAAACTCCCATAAAGTGACGCCAAGCAACCCCCACTTGTCTTGAGTTACCAGCTACAAATTTGTGGTGATTAAGTGAAATGGGGCAATTTGGGACCTTTCACAGTAAAACTTGATCTTTTTGGTCCTGAGGGGGCGGGGCTTGTGTGATGTCATCATCCGACCATTCAGTTTTCTTTGGGGGTGGATGACGAATGACCACAGAAAGTTTGGTAACTCTATTCCATTCAGTTATGAAGTTATAGCAATTTAAATATTTTTGGCGAGTAGTCAAACTTCGAGGCCTGGCTCCGCCCCTTCAACATATACGAAAACTCAGAATCCTTATCTCATTTTGTTCGCCCATCCCTTCTGAGCAATTTTACACAATTTTTGAGACGATCGTGCGAAAAATGATCGAGCAATCCAATCAGAAACGGACCCTAAAAACGGCAAAAACGGCAAAAAATCGCCATTTCAACCCAAAATGGCCGACTTCCTGTTTTATATTGACCATGGTTGCAAGAGACTTTTCTGTGCGGACTGTGGAGTACTACAAGTGTACCAAATTTCATAACTGTACGATAAACTAAGCTTTATGGAGAGGGGTTTTTTTCACTTTGTAGGGGGCGCTGTTCAGCCATTTTCTTTGCGATTTTTTTGGGACCTTTAAAATATCAAATTTTTCACCAGGCCTGACAAGTGTGCAAAATATTGTGAGTTTTGGGGTATGTTAAGGTCCCCAAAAAGCTGTTCAAAGGGGGCACGGAATAACAAAAAATAATTAAAGCTGCAAGCAGCGTCGTTCGGCCCTCGCAGCTCCGCGCCGCTCCGGCCTGGCCGGCAGCCCGAGGCACCAGGTTACGTTCGTGGAACAAAAATTTTGACCACCCCGACACCAGAAACAGCTAACGGTCACCTCGTCCGCACCTCACCCTGACTGAGCATCCCCTCTGAGCACACCAAGTTTGGTGCAGTTACGACCTCGTCTGTAGGAGTTATTACAGTTTTAATGTTGTGTAGGGGGTGCTGTGGTGTTATTATACGAATTTCACCAACCATTTGTGTCTCATTGGCTAAAGGGCATGATTGTTGATTGCCATGTTCAGTCTCGTGCAGATGGGAGGCTATTTGTGGAAGTTACGATCAAACGTAAGGTCATGACGTCATGCCAGAAATCGCCATGGCATCAAAGCCCCTCCCTATCTGGAAAGCTATCAGATCTGAATGGTCATTGCAACATCATGAAGACAGTGCCTGACCTTAGTGTCATGTTGACTAAATTAGAGAGGACAAATATGGGCATTTCACCATAAAACAATAGACTTCCTGTTGTCAGGGGGCAGGGCTTAGGTGATGTCACCTGTCCACAATGACGTTGTCTTGAGATTTGGTCATTGATCACACGGACAAAGTTTGATATAGATCTGATCATGCACATTGGAGTTGTTAAGTCAAGTAATGTAATGGCGAAAGGTCAAAGTTTGAGGCTTAGCCACGCCCACACCATTATACTTATTTAAAATCCGACGGTTGAATTTTTTCCCCTTTGTCTTAAGAAAATATAACAGAAGTTTGAAGGTGATCGGTGAAAAGGGCGACGGGGTATCATTGTCCAAACAACGTGTGCGAAAACCACTAAATCGAGAACTTGGACCAAAATGGCCGACTTCCTGTGCGACTTTGCACTTGGCTCCCAGAGACTTTTTTGTAGGTCCTGAGAGACCACATTAGTGTACCAAATTTTGCAATCCTCAGTCAAAGCATGGCTTGGGGCTGACAGTTTTAATGGTCATAGGGGGCGCTATTTCAGAAAATAGGCCACGCCCACAAACTTCAGCCATCCATTTCTATTGGGGGTCAGACTAGGATCACTCACAACAAGTTTCGAGGTGATATCACGATAAATGAAGAAATGAGAGGCAAACGTATTTCCATGGCGTGATGGCGAATTTCACCATGCTCCCAAAGCCCCGCCTTTTCTAAAAACCTTCCAGTACTGGAGACCAAGTGACCTCAACTTGTCTGCTGCTATTTACCAGAGATTACTGGTGATTGGGTAAAATGGGTCCAATAGGGAGCTGTGAAAAAAAGAGTGGCGTGGCGAAAGGTCAAAGTTTGAGGCTTAGCCACGCCCACACCTTTATACTTATTTAAAATCCGACGGTTGAATTTTTTCCTCTATGTCTTAAGAGTATATAGCAGAAGTTTGAAGGCGATTGGTGAAAAGGGCGACGGAGCATCACTCTCCAAACAACGTGTGTGAAAACCACTAAATCGCACACTTGGACCAAAATGGCCGACTTCCTGTGCGACTTTGCACTTGGCTCCAAGAGACTTTTTTGTAGGTCCTTAGACACCACATTAGTGTACCAAATTTCGTAATCCTCAGTCAAAGCATGGCTTGGGGCTGACAGTTTTAATCGTCCTAGGGGGCGCTATTTCAGAAAATAGGCCACGCCCACCGGATGTTCACATCAGATCTTTTGGGGGGCCGGACTAGGATCACTCACAAGAAGTTTCGTGACGATATCTTTAGAAATGACGAAATGGGAGGCAAACGTAAGGCCACGGCGGTACGCCTGACTTCGCCGCGCCGCCACAGCCCCGCCCTCTGCCGAAAACTCCCATAAAGTGACGCCAAGCAACCCCCACTTGTCTTGAGTTACCAGCTACAAATTCGTGGTGATTAAGTGAAATGGGGCAATTTGGGACCTTTCACAGTAAAACTTGATCTTTTTGGTCCTGAGGGGGCGGGGCTTGTGTGATGTCATCTTCCGACCATTCAGTTTACTTTGTGGCTGGATGACGAATGACCAAAGAAAGTTTGGTAACTCTATTCCATTCAGTTATGAAGTTATAGCAATTTAAATTTTTTTGGCGAGTAGTCAAATTTTGAGGCCTGGCCCCGCCCCTTCAACATATACGAAAACTCAGAATCCTCATCTCATTTTGTTCGCCCATCCCTTCTGAGCAATTTGACACAATTTTTGAGATGATGGTGCGAAAATTTATCGAGCAATCCAATCAGAAACGGACCCTAAAAACGGCAAAAACGGCTAAAAATCGCCATTTAAACCCAAAATGGCCGACTTCCTGTTTGATATTGACCATGCTTGCAAGAGACTTTTCTGTGCGGACTGGTGAGTACTACAAGTGTACCAAATTTCATAATTGTACGATAAACTAAGCTTTATGGAAAGGGTTTTTTTTCACTTTCTAGGGGGCGCTGTTCAGCCATTTTCTTTGCAATTTTTTTGGGACCATTAAAATATCAAATTTTTCACCAGGCCTGACATCTTTGCAAAATATTGTGAGTTTTGGGGTATGATAAGGTCCCCAAAAAGCCATTCAAAGCGGGCTAAGAATAATAAATAAAAATAAACAGAGCAAAAACAAGAGGCCTTCGCAGCGCTTTCGCTGCTCGGGCCTAATAATCAGAGCAAAAACAAGAGGCCTTCGCAGCGCTTTCGCTGCTCGGGCCTAAAAATGGCTTTTCAGTGAACCACACCTTCAAAGGAAGTAAAATGCCACAACTTACTCATTATTCATTTCACACATTTCCCTCCAATTTCGCATCTAATTCACCGCTAGCATTGTTAGCTCAGCATTAGAAGAAGAAGAAGAAGAAGAAGAAGAAAATATAATTTCTATAGCGCCTCTCAAGATAAAAATCACGAGGCGCTTCACAAAAACAAATGTATAAATATAAAAAATAATTTAGAAAATGGTTAAAAATATATTTAAAATGAGCAAAAAATTGACAACTGTGATTAAAAAATGTTAAAGACAGAGTGAATAGGAAAGAGGGAAATCAGTGTATGTATCATTAGCCTCTAGCCGACATTAGAGTAAAACTAAAAGATGCCGTGGCTTTCTTAAGGGTGCAAGAAATAACTTCTTGGTTGCTCCTGTTTACTGGTTTTGGTTCTTTAAACAATGTGTTGAATTACAAATGCTGGCACTGTTCGCTGCAGATTGGGTAACTTCCCAAACTCACAGAGTTCAAACAGTGACTACGTCCCTCTTTTCTTTAATTTTATTTGAAAGGGAGAAAAACTGACATTCCTCCAGCTGGTTGAGAATGAAATCTGTCCCAACATTATTGAGACATTAGTTTGTTTGTTATTATTTCACATTAATTCTTACAAATTGCTCCTTTAAGATACGTCTTGCCAAATAGGATTGAAATTTAAAATAGAGGAAAGATGTTATTGATTGATGCAATCTGTTGTTTTGATAAAGTTGAATCCCTACTGAGTTACAGAATGGCCAAATCATACGTGTGAAACTTTCTCACATACAGAAACCGGCCGATGAGGATCACTTACTGGTTTGGATAAAAATACCAACAGCTGTCACAGTTATTACAAAACACTTCTAAAGATCATTAACCCCAGCAGCCAGTGTCCAAACACCACATAAACTCGCAAAATGTATTCAAGAGCATAGATGTAGCCATTAGTTCTCCATAATAAAGTCCAACCATCGGACACACCAAAGGTAATAAAATGATAATTTACTCCAGGGGCTTAAAGCTGTGAACGAGATTTTAAATTATACATAAAGAATGGTGATGGCTGAAGTTGATGTCAATCAGTGCGGTTTACCCACCGTGTCTCTGGCCCACCTCCAACAGAATGGGCTCCTCCAACACAATGGTGAATGTCTTGTTTTTCTCGTATTCTTCATCATCAATGATCTTCACATTTAGCAACTTCCTGAAGACAGAAAAATAAGGGAATAGATTAAAAAAAAGAGGATGTGTGAATTAATTACATTTATGTAGAAAATCACAACTACTTGGCCCATAAGTGAGACTGGCTGTACACTGGGGCAGGGGGAGGCATTGAAGGTTGGTGAGGGTTTGGATGGGATAGGCTACCATACAAGATGCTTGTGCAGTATGTCAATTTGTAATGTGATGTATGCATTAATAATTGTTTTGGTGACATAAAGAAAGGAAAGTGCGAACTCTTACTATCCAATTACACAACTGTCTACCCCCTCATGTATGCCTGCCTAGAACTGCCCTGTTTATAATAGGTAAGACTTATTGATTAAAGATCTAGCGTTCCTTGAAGAAATACACATCCCCCAATGTGACTCATGCTCTCCAGTAAACAGTTTTAGAAGCTTTAAGTTAGAGCTTTAACATTGATCTCCATGATTGTTGAGTTAGAAACTTGACCAGTTTCCTATTTGACACCAGTCTGCGGCTCTCTACTGGCTGCATACTGCACTTAACAGTTTTGTGGAGCGGGTAAGTGCTCAATAGGGGGAGCTCTAAATCTGCTTTACAGCTGTTAGCTGTTATGCTAGCAGTTAACTTTTTCAGTTTGCCGATTTTCAATAAAAACACATGTCCATCAGTGTGAATCTTTTACTTAGTGGTTTATTTTAGTACCAGTAGGCTCATGTTTGTGTTAGTTTGTTGTTAGCGCTAGCTACATCAGGGTGCAGCAGGGTTGTTTACAACAGGTGCTATTCCACTTTCAATCAGTAGGGTGGAGGAGCAGGAAACTGCTTTAAAATCACTTCACACTGAGAAGTGAGAAATATTGACACTTTTGTCAAATGTTTAAAATACTGCAGTCAGCATTGCAAGCTCTCGTTTAATCTGTTGGGACTCGGACTCAGACACTGAGCAACAGCCAAACCAGATTGTAGCTCAATTAGAGCCCTGCATGGGCCTAAAATCTGAGCCCGTGTCCGGCCCGGCCCGAGGGGGTGGAGCCCCAGCCCGACCCGGTCCGAAAAGGTTTTCAGGATTCTCTGGCCCGGCCCGAGCCTGACTTCTTTTTTAACCAACTAAATGGAAACAAAGTGCACCAATCCTGACCAATGTGTTAAAAGACGTGCAGGATCCGGTCAATTTGTTTTTCCCTCGTTTACCGTCACGGAGATAACGGCGCACTGGCTCTGGTGTTAATCAAGTTAAATTTTATCTCTTTCCAACAATTTTCACAAGAAAACAGAACAGTTAAAAGCAGGGCTTGTGTTGACCGGATAGTTCCCGTATTTGACGGAAAAAGAATAGAAAGAATTACCCCGACGCAAGCAGACGAACTGACATTTTGTTCGTTACGCACATCGCAGATGTAGCTAAATCACCCAAGAAAAGATTGCCATCTGAACATCTGAGCTTCTCAGCGCAGCTCGCTGTCAGCGGATATGTGCACAGCGAGCTGAAGTTGTGGAGATTGGCTTGGAGCGCGTTGCAGAACCAGAGCGCATGCGGGAAGGTTCCTCCCACTGAAGCGAGTGTTTTCCAAACCCTGTCGCTCAGAGAGACTTGACACTTAGAAAATGTTCCCAGATTATGAAACTTTGGCTGAATAGTGCTTGTCTCCAATGTGGCGACACATCCACGAGCCGTCTGAGGAGAATCCCAGAATCTCTTCAGCTCAGAAAGCGCATATGATTACGCACAAGCATGACCCGTCAACCCGGTCTCACAGTAAGACTGGGTTGGACCTGTTCAGGTTTACGCAGACAATCTTTACATAGAATTGACTTACAGATATAAAATTAATTCAGTAAAATATAAAGCATTTTATTTAAAGATCCATTCATTATTTTACAAGCACAGAGAGCCGCACCAGATGGATGGAAGAGCCGCGGGTTGTGACATGTTTTCTCCAGGACCAGAGACGACGCAAACTCAATACATCTCTTTTATTGTGAGGTAATAATTTCTCCGAGTTTTGCGGTTGGGGGCGGGAGTAGACATGCACGCTACGGGTGCGGGCGGGAGTGTAACACACGTTGCAGTTGCAGGTGGTAATGGTCAGAAATTCAGCGGGAGCGGGCAGGAGTGGGATGAAGAAAACATTCCCGCGCAGGGCTCTACTGCTGCGTTTGTGTTTCAAAATTTTTTTATGAATTCGATTAAAAATAAAGACGCCCGGCCCGGCCCGTGTTTGAGGTAATTACACAGTCGTTGGCCCGAAGCCCGGCCCGAGGGCCTAGGGCTTCAGTGCAGGGCTCTAAACTCAATATCTGTAGAACTGACCCAGTTAAAGTCATTCTGGTGTGGGCTGAGGTTGATTAGTAGCAGCCCTTCTGAATTGGGTAGACTCATCAGGAATGTGAGTTTTTCAGAGTTTCTTTTCTAGTTTGGTTTTTTTGTTGTTTGTTCTGTGTTTTCCCCTCCCCTTCTGCTCATTACACACCTGTGATGCATCTGCCTATTCAGCCCAGCTGCTCTCACTCAGTAATCGCACTCCCAGCAGCCCAATAGTCCATTGTCAGATCTGCTTGTTATCTCCTCTGTTCTTCTTTTCCATGTCCTGGGTGCAAGTTCCCTCGTGTACATCCTAATATACTCAGGTTATTTTTTTCCTGTTATGTCGGCATTTTACTTCCCTGATTAAAGGTGTACCACTTCAATTTCCTCAGCTCCAACAACTTGTATACCTAGAAATACATGGGAGGAATACGTTCTGGAGGTTTTATTACAAGTTGTCTAATTTATGAGATATTTAGCTAAATAATACAAAAGCATGGGAAAAAATAAATAAAACCGGCAAACTTTCAGGTGAGAATCACCATAAAATAGCCTCAAAAAAGCAAGAACATGTGATTACATACTTTATGTATTTTTTGTTGAACAGCCATAAAAAACCCATGCAGCCAAGAAGTTATGTGCCCACACAATGAATCATGAAACACATCTGTTAGATAATAGGATGAATATCCTGTAATGTAGGACACACACACACACACACACACACACACACACACACACACACACACACACACACACACACACACACACACACACACGTTTTTTTTCTGCACTCCACAAGAGGGCGGGCTCCATCTACATCATTAAGTCCATTAAAGCAGAAGTGTAGCCAAAAGCCTCCACCCTCCCACACACTTCAGATTCTAAACTAAATTATCATCCTGTTTTCTGTGGATAGACAACCAAATTGTGCAGGTGAATGCAAACTCCAAAATCTCACCTTAAAAGAAATGCTTTTCGTTTAATCTGAGAGCTATTGTGTGAAACTGTGACCACCATATTTCCTTTAGCCCGCTTCTTTCTCCCACACTGTCACAGTCCGTCTCTCTTTCTCCATCTCCCTAATGATATGTGGGTGGCTGTCTATTTCTGTCCACACATATACACTCAGGGTCTGACAACACGCAGCAAGAGCGTTCGCTTGCAGAAGAGAAGGAATTTTATTTTAAACACCACTGATACGTCATTGGCAGTTTAATGTCAGGGAGAGTCATGCCAGTGGGAGCAAAGTTTATTGCTGTAACGCCTGGAGTCTTCACAAAAGACAACATGAGAGTTTATGTACATGGTTAGTTTACTTTGAAGCTTCCTGTTTGGGTGTTGAATGAAAATGTGAGGGTTCAGTTGCTGAAGCTCATGTGGTGATGTAGCCTAGGAAGATAAAAACCGGAATCAACCTGCTGAAATTCAGGTAATCATGAAAGTAAAGTGCCTCTAGTCCAACTTGTATTAAAAACAGATCCTTGTCGAGAACATAGTGAAAAATGATAATGTGACAGCAGGGTATTTGATAAGAGGACTGTTGTGTTAAAATGCTGTTGGAGGGTTAAATGACTCCATTTGTGACAGCTCCTAAATGTTTGGATTGTATTTTTATTCTTCATGTTTAACTGGGTCCACGTCCTTGTTTCTCCAGAAGGATTACACCTTGAGGGTATTCAACCCAACATTTTTTTACCTTCATGTGACAACTGGAAAAGCAGATAAATGATAAATTAATGACGTAGTGCACTCAAACGGATTCAGGCAGCAGTCTCTCTCTCCTCGAGGCTTCTGCTGCTGTGTAACTTCTTTTTTTCAGGTTTGCAACCTCAAAAGAGCATTTCCTGCACAAGCGGCATGAGATCTTTCCTTTTTTTCTTTCCCACTGTTGCCATGGTAAATCAGTGTATCAGGGCTCGATTGCTGATCGCTTTTCAGTTGAAGGAGAAATTACTCAGAATCAATTGAACTATTAAAAATCATCAGTTTTTGAACCAAACACTCAGATCCCCCTTTTGCGGTACGTCAACTCACAGTTCGCTGATGGAAAAATAGCTTTCTAGTTTCTAGGATCAGTCATATCAATCATCAAATTGGATGTTGAGGAGTCCTGAAACATGCTGATAAAAACCTTTACCCATCATGTAACGTGTTTATTGAAATGCAACCACATTCATCTTGGAACGTGTGAAGAAACAGCCTCACTCATCCTCACTTTTGCCAAATCAACATCTCTTGAGCCTACCTCACCAATTCTCACATTTGTCTCCTTGGTATCTCCTGAACCTACCTCACCCACCCTCACTTTTGCCACCTTAGCATTTTCTGAACCTACCTCATCCACCCTCACATTGGCCTTCTTGGTATGATCTGAGCCTCCCTCACCCACCCTCACTTTTGCCATTTCAGCATCCCCGACCCTAACTCACCCACCCTCTCTTTTGTCACCTCGGCTTATCCTAAGCCTACTTTACCCATCCTCACATTTGCCACTGCAGCATCTTCTGAACCGGCCTCATGGTGAAATGGCCTGTGTTTGATATAGTGCTTTCTAGAGTCCTAGAAACCCCCCCAAGTCACTTTACAACACAATAAGTCATTAACCCATGCACACACACATTCACACACTGGTGGGGATGAGCTACACTGTAGCCACAGCTGCCCTGGGGTTCACTGACATACATGAAGCTGTTGAGCACTGACACCAAC